GTGCCTTTACCTCACTGGTTGGAGAAAAAGCTTCTTATATTCGTTAGCATAGCTAGCTAACCATATGCTAATAACAAAGTTATTGACTGTATGATCAGAATGACAGATGAACAGATCGCCACTGGGTTTACAACTAAGACACAGCCACGCAAAAACTGCAGTATGTGTAGCCTACGCCCTACGGACTTATGGGTACTGCAATTTTTTTAAAGTCCCGGAGCGGCGTTCTGGTGCTCTCCGTCAGCACTGCACCCCTGTCAGACGAGACATATACCACGTGATGACACGTTAGGCTCGTGTTGTGTTCAAGGACCATGACCGTTGCCAGGAAAAACAGGCACTCACTTGTTTAATTATTTTGCGGTCTAGATTTCTTTAATTTTTTTGCGTGTGTTTATAAATGACCTCGAGGGCCAAACCAAATGGTCTCGCGGGCCGTATACGGCCCGGGGGCCGGAGGTTCCCCACCCCTGGTCTACTTGGATCCGAATGCTTCTCGTTTTGCGCCGTCCCCCCGTTCAAATGAAAATCGCCACCAATCATATTTCCACGCTCGTGCCAAGGCCGGGGGAGGGGTTACAAAGCTTGCGTCTTGTGCTGCATTCACTTGCACTCGGACATTAGAGATTTTCTCTCAAATGTCTGATGAGCCACAACTTTTATTTCAAAACAAAGAGGCCAACTGGGGTGGCAAGGCATTTTTCTGAGGTGGCAGCTGCCACCCCGTGCCACCCCGTAGAACCGCCACTGCTTGAAATCCGAAAATAAATATTTTGTTAATAACTTCTTTCGTTACTAACTTTCTTTGTATCTTGTATCTTTCTTTGCACTTGGAAGTTGTTAAATATGTTTTCGTGTCTTCACTTGCTGTCTCTCCTTCCTCCCTTACAGCAGCAACCTTCTGGGGGCCATGTCCATGTAGATGTGTATTACTTCACTGTGGATAACAGGAATGTCCTTCTCAATAGCGAGGAGGAGGAGATCAGAAAGCCTCTCTTCTGTACTTTGGCTTCTGAGTGTGTCTTTCACACACCGGCAGCTTAGTCATTTGTTCATCACCACTCACCTTCAAAATAACAAGTAGAGCCGGCATAATGTGGGACAGTAAAGTGGGAGGTGCTGCTACCTGTCTGTCTGAAGGGACTGCCGATGTCCGCACCGCTGTGCGCGAGACGTGGAGGGAGGGAGGGAGAGAGAGAGCAGCAAAACTTCACAGTCTAATCTCCCGACCTGATATTTTAGTTTTTTATTCAAGCAATATATTTTTGGAAAGTGTGCGCGAACAGCAGTAGATACATTAAAAAAATTAAATAAAAAGCACCCCATAAAAAGGGCACTTTCTCTGGAGGAAGAAAAAGGGCAGGGGCTCAAGCCCACTTTGAGGTCTATGTGTGCACGTGCCTGCTCAAGACTGACTATCTATGGAGTCAGATTTGCATATATATATATGCAATTTTCAACAGATACAGCCCACTGAAAAATATATTGTTTTATATCAAATTAATGTATATATATATATATATATTAGCTGTACACTTTACGAATATAATAGTTTTTTATGGACAACTTTACCATTCAATCTCGTCCAACTGATTTTGCTGCCGTCACTGCTCGGCTCTTGGTAGTTCAGGCATTTATCAAACCTGGCAACCCCGGGTTTCCTGGCAGCTGTCAATCAAAGTCCAGTGGCTCCGCCCCAAAGGGCCAGAAACTTTTCATGCGCACGTAGACCAAGCCCCCAGGAAGTGCGCCGGACTCAGATGAAAATATTCGTGCTGGCCAAACGGCGGTACTACACTTCCGTTTGGTTGCCAGGCCCGGAAACACTTTTTCCCATTGACTTACATGGGGAAAGAGTGGTCTGTAACTCGTTGGATAATTTTTTTTAAACTAAATAAACTACCCAGTATGAACACTTGTATAGCCCTTATTAAAAACATTCGTTCCTCAAGTTGTAAAAATTAGCTAATAACGTTATTCTGAGAATTATTTCCCTCTGCATTATGAACGCGCATCTAACCCACGGGACCGCGCCGCCCGGCACGTTCATGTTACGTGTCCCGACCAATCAGAGCACACTGTGCTCCCAGGGAGGGTGGGGCTGGAGCTATTGGAGCTACAACGAGCCGTTAAAGGCAGAGAGTGAAATTCAGTGAATACACGTAGTTTACAGAGATGCTGTTTGAGAAACCAATGTGAGTTGCGTTTATCTTTACCCATGGATGCACAATAAGAACGGATCCATATCGTCTCACTGCCATCCCACGGAGCTGTAATAATGGATATATTGCACATGTTTGCTGTAATTCATTATCATACATGGGCTGTATGATTAAATCTTGTACCGTAAATGTTGTATTAAATAAAGTTAATATTACCGACATTATTAACGTCCCTGTAGCTTTGTATTGTACTAAGAAGCTTATTGCGCTGTATATAAATATATATATATATATAGGCCTACAGTGCAATAATTATTTCATGCTAAATGAAGCTCTGTTGGATATCACTAGATCCTGTTACAGCGTAATATAAGTACTTAACGATTGATGTGTACATTGGCATCATTACTAGCTAGCCGCTAGCTGCTAACTGCCGCCTCGTTCATATAAAATCCATGATAACAACAATCCATTACCATGCTGTCATGAACGCGCGGTGCTGTTACGTGTACGCAAATTGACGTGCTTGATGTGAACGAGCATTTTGGTTAAAGTTGCGCATGCTCTATGAGTGCACTTACGGGTACTTCTCAGGCATGCTGGGTAATCTGTGACGTTTCACTCTCTCAAAAGTTGGGCCATTTTATCATCATGCGCTAATGAGCAGCTCTTATAGGAATGAATGAGGCCCCGCCTCCCACGCTGTATCCAGTTCTTATTATACATCCATGGCGTAGACAGACTCCGCGAGGGGTTTAATCTGCGCGCGAGGGTCAGTGTAAAAGCACATTTTCCGCTCGTGAGTAGCTTGTTTTACGCGCTAGAATATTGACCCAAATCTGACTCCATACTATCCGCCACAACCTTTTCCGCCCCCGATCACTTATTGAGAGGAGAGAGCAGTGGTGTAGTGGGCGTTGGACGCGGGGGTACGCCGTACCCCCACTTATTTGGAGCACAATCTTTTTTTTAATAGTCTAATAAATATAAAATCATTGCCAGTGTTATCAGTTGCAAGTGTGTATTTGTTGTAATAAGGACAAAAACATAATACATTTCACAGTAATAATAATACAAAATAAAAACGATTTCCTTAAAGAATTATGATTCATCATCACGCTCATGACCCCGCGGCGAGCTGGGGGTGTGTCCCACGGCGAGCCAGCTCACTGCCCGCCGATTTTGCGGTAGCTCTTTCCCTCAAGAATGCTAACGAAAAAGCTCTATAATGGCAGGCAAACATGTTTTACTTGACTTCTTTTCTAAAAAGAATATAATTCACAAGAAGAAAGAGGCTAGCAGCAAGTGAAGTTGCTACTAGTACTACATCATCAGAAGAGCCGCCTAAAGACGTGGATAATGCTAGCACTAACGTCAACGTTAGCTGCGCTAGCAACGTTCCGCTAGCTAGCTCAAGCTCACCTTTCCCAGAGGTATGGACGGAGGAGATGTGGCGGAGGAAACAAGAGGCTACCCGTGGAGACTGCAAAGCTGGGAAACTGGGCTGCAAAGTTTGTTCATCCATTTCGGATTTATCAGTCTTCAAAACGCAAGGTGTGTGTGTGTGTGTGAAAAGCAGCGCTGTCTGCTTATTTGCAATGTAGGCTAGGCCTAATCAGAATAATTTCAAGTCCAGATCATCGTCTGCTTAGTTGCAATACTGTAGTTTATGCAATTTAGGCCTATAAATTGTTTATGTAATTTAAATATGCCAGTGTGTCCATGGTTTTGAGTCTGTGTGTGTGTTGAGCGCAGCGCCGTCTACTTTTTGCAGTACAGCAACTATAGGACTAAGCATGCCGGTAGTTTCTTTGGGCCTGTCTGCCCGTGTTGTGAGTGCACTTCGCGCGTGCGCACTTGTGTGGCATTGTTTGGGATTACCTAATTAAAATAGTGTCCCCCCAGTAAAAAAATCCCCACTACACCACTGGGAGAGAGAGTAGTAACATGGAAATAGTAAATGAATGAGTAAAGACGGTCTTCCTGGTTGAACTTGCGCTGAGCTTCATTTAGTCTCAGATCACTTCCACACAGAGACGTGCACAGGTACGGGCTAATGTTGCCCGGGCAACGGCCCTTTTGAACTTTTTGGCTGACCTGCCCCTCTGGAGAGAGCGAAAGTCTTTTTTTTCTGTTGTGGCCGAATAAACATGATAAGCCCACAATTAATATTGTAGAGTCTCGCTGCGATAAAACAAACCTTGCCAGCGCTGTCATCTTCCCCCAGTCACGTGACTTTGTTTACAATCTGACAGCTGAAAGCAAAGGAAAGCCCTCCGAGTCCGGTCCGGCCTATGGCTATGGTGATCATGTGCCTGGCTGGCTTTGGTAGCAAATCCTCGGGTCAATCTGTCCCCGGAAATGTTCCCGTTTTTAAATATGCTTAAATTGATTTAAATATACTTGTTATTGTGTTTCTGTCTTTCTGTGTCTTTTCATCTGCTCCGTAAACTCCCTCTCTCTCTTTTCTTGATCGCCCTCTCTCACATACGGGAGAACAGTTCACTGTCCCGCTTCATTGTAGGATTTCTGCCATGTCTCTACTTTAGTTTGGCCATCTCTGTTATTAAGTTATGGAATACTAAATACATAAGTAATTAGATACCTTACCGTTACTGCTCTCATAAAGAATGATAAGAATAATGTGTATTGAACTGGTTTAATCAATTAGTGAGTTTATTTAAGGCACAGCAGTTACAATGGTCAAACTAGCCTACATTAAAACAGAATTGTCCGCATTTGATCTTTAATAGTTACTAACATTAGATATGTTAATGAGATATAGACCGCAAACATTTTTTTCCCTTGGTTTTCATTTTTTTAATAAAAATGTCTTACGTTTTCAGGGGGGTCGGGGGGTCGGCCCTTTTTCTAGTTTAGAGCAACAGCCCCTCCAAATGTCTGTGCACGTCCCTGCTTCCACATGTTCTCCATCAGCTTCGTATGGCACCTTGGACACAAGAAGAACATCCTGTTTTTGTTTTTGAAAGACAAACCTTTATTAATGATCCAAACATTTCATTTAATCACACATCCCATCAGTAAAGTCTGTTCAATGATTTCATGATCAGTCTCACTTTCTCCACATGAATGTGTTTCATCTCAGCTGTTTCAAACAGAGTCAGACATGATTTCCTTATTGATTATTATCATGATAATTAATGTTCTATAAAACATCAGAGTACCCAATTTCTATTTGGATAACAACAACAACAACAACAACAACAACAATTCGTCTGCAAAACAATAACTGTAATATTATGCAATGTATTTCCCAAGCAAAGACTCTAAGCTATTCCCAGGAGAATAATGAAGGATGTACTTATTGATTATGATCATGACAGGAAGTGATATCATTTTGAATAAACATGTGATGATGAAATAAGTGTTATAACCATCTGGGAACTCATGTTTTAGTTAATTCAGCAACAATAACATTGAATCTGTCAAAAAGAATACATGTGATTATAAATGCCTCTATTGTTTTAGAACCAGAATAAAATGTGTAGAATAAAAGAAGCTCTGCTGCTTTCTCTCTGAAGACTCGTGCACTACAAGAGAAACAACAACATGAATCAAAAGAAATATCCAACACATATTTAGAGCAAAGTTTACATATCAGTTCAGGTGAACAAGGATCCTCCTGAGCAGTGACAGCCTCCATGGCTAACCAGACACAGGAAGGAGCCGGAAGAAAGTCCAGCATCTACAGAACAACTCGTGAGAAGATGTTGAAGCCCCGCCCATCATGTTTGATTGACAGCTGATCTCTGCAGTGAAGACATGGACAATCAGCTCTGATGGACACACGGTGAGTTTAAGAAGTAGAAGAGTTCCTCCAAGGACTTCAGGCTATCTGAGTTTACAAAACTCAGCTGTGGCTCCATATTCATAACAAAGACAAACTCCAGCATGTAGCGGCTGAGTGAATGTGGTCTGCACTCTGTGGAGGAGAGTCATGGTTTCAGAGACGCTGTAGAAGGACAGAACACCTGCTCTGTGATCCAGGTACACTCCTACTCTGGAGGACAGAGGACCTGAGACGGGAGTGCTGATACTGTTGTAAAGAAATGAACATCTGTTTTGGTTACAAATTAAGGACCAAGATTTGTCATTGTATCCAAATACACTTTCCCCCCCTGCTCTGCTGATATTCTTGTATGCGACTGCTACAAAAACTCCTCCCCCTTTCCACTCCACCTCCCAGTAACAACGTCCAGTCAGACTCTCTCTACTCAGGACCTGAGAACAATAAGTGAATCTGTCTGGGTGACGAGAATAAGACTGATGTTGTGTCATGTATGTTGCTTTTCTGCTCCCCTCAGATAATACCAGCCTCTTGTGTGCTGTGTTTGGATCCAGAGTGATCTCCTGTGAATATGTTAAGAACCCAGCTCTGGTGGTGGGCTCTGCTGCTGACAGTAAAACATCCACTTCAGTCGGTGAGACGTTTGTCCATTCCTCTCTCAGGACGTCCTGTAGTTTGTCTCTGACTGCTGACAGGGCCGCCGTCACGTCCTCAAAGTAGCTCAGAGGACGGATGTTGATGCTGGAGGAGTGTGTAGCTTCACTGAGGGCTGGCAGTGAGGGGTAGCTGAGCAGAAACTGGTTGTGATCCTCTGTGTGAGACAGCAGCTTCAGCTCAGCGTCTCTCCTCTTCAGCTCAGAGATCTCCTGCTCCAGCTTCTCCTGGAGCTCTCTGACTCGACTCACTTCTCTCTTCTGCTGGGATCTGAGCTGCTGCTTCACATCAGAGCTTCTCTTCTCCATGAGACGGATCAGCTCAGTGAACATCTTCTCACTGTCCTCCACTGCTTTATCAGCAGAGCCATTGACGGCCTCCACCTCCTGCTGAAGCAGCTTCACCTCCTTCTCTCCGTCCTGGATTCTCTGCTGGATGTTGAGTCGACTCCCCTCCAGCTCTCTCTGCCTCTCAGTCCTCTCTGCAGCAGCTGACACCGTGTCGTGGCCTTTGTGTTCGTCCATAGAGCAGAGATAACAGATACTCTGCTGATCAGTGCGGCAGAATATCTTCATCACCTCGTTGTGACGAGAGCAGATGTTCTCCTGGAGCTTCTTGGAGGGCTCCACCAGCTTGTGTTTTTTTAATGGAGCTGCGTCATAATGAGGCTGGAGGTGTTGGTCACAGTAAGAGGCCAGACACACGAGGCAGGACTTACAGGCTCTCAGCTTCCTCCCAGTGCAGACATCACAGGCCACATCTTCAGCTCCAGCATAGCAGAGATCAGCAGGAGCAGCTTGGAGTCCAGTCTTCTTCAGCTCCTCCACTAAAGCTGCTAACATGGTGTTTTTCAGCAGGACAGGCCTCGGTGTGAAGCTCTGCCTGCACTGAGGGCAGCTGTGGATTAGCTCTACATCCCAGTGCTGTTTAATACACTTCATGCAGTAGCTGTGTCCACAGGTAGTGGTCACCGGATCCTTCAGTAGATCCAGACAGATGGAACAAGAGAAGGTTTCCCGGTCCAGCTGAACTCCTTTCTGCGCCATTTCACCTCTCAGTAGCAGCGAGTGTGTGAGTTTCACTTCCTGAGAGCTGAAACTAGTGTTATCTGAACAGCATGTGTGTGGGCGGTGAATGTGGCTATCAGCTCTCGTACTTTACCCACATGTTGGTTACACCCCTCCTCCTCAGTGTGGATCTGAAGGGGAGGAACCAGGAAATACAGAGTGGAGCTGGCTGTGTCTGGCCCAATCCCAAATCACCCCCTCGGTGACGGAGTGAAATCCGTCTGTAGCCACACTCGCAGCTGAATGAAGTTCCCTCCATTAAGGGTTAAGGGCAGGGGTGAAATTGGGCCGGGGCTGTCCGGGGCTCAGCCCCGGCACATAGGACGATGCTCTGACGTCATCACCCTCGCTCATTTGTCATTTGTTTAAGCCATAATGTTAAAACATATCTCGTTCTTAATATAGACTTTATTTAGGGTCGATATGTGTTGACTTTACAATTTAAAATAGCAGATCTCCGTGACAGGATATCTTTTTTCCGCTTAGTGAACGTGTGTCTCTGCTCCGATCAGGAGCTGCAGCACCGTGGCTCCTTTGTGCAGAGAATCTGCAGCGGTGTGTGTGTGTGTGTGTGTGTGTGTGTGTGTGTGTGTGTGTGTGTGTGTGTGTGTGTGTGTGTGTGTGTGTGTGTGTGTGTGTGTGTGTGTGTGTGTGTGTGTGTGTGTGTGTGTGTGTGTGTGTGTGTGTGTGTGTGTGTGTGTGTGTGTGTGTGTGTGTGTGTGTGTGTGTGTGTGTGTGTGCAGAGAGTCTGCAACCCGTCTTGTAACACGGAGCCCGTTTACTACACCATCAGGACCGGTTCTAACCAATTTGCTGCCCTCTGCGAGAATTTAGCTGGGCCCCCCCCTGCCTGAAAATCGTTCAGTAGAAAAGATAAAAGTACCCAAGGAATACACAATAGAATATATAAAGAATAAATGAAACATCTCTACAAAAGACCAATACACTACAAAAACAGAAACGTATTGACATGTTGGTAATATACATCAAAAAGGCTTCAAATGTATTCGGTATTATATGAACATGTTTGAATTGGGGTGTGGACGTCACATCCTCTTGGGCAGTGGTCACCAACCTTTTTAAGCCCACGATCACCGACCTCGGCCTAGGTGAAAGGCGAAATCTACCTATTGCAGAATTGAGGGGAAAAGACGGCCCAGACAGTGCTTCCAATTTGAGGCCTTTTATAGGCTAATTGCATCTGAATTACTGTTACAATGAAGGCTCCATAATCAGCTCACGGCATATAGGCAGGGGTAAAGTGCTATTTTTTATGAGTGGGGGGCGGACCTCACCTCCTCTAGGGGGTCCTCACCTCCTCTAGGGGGGTCCTCACCTCCTCTAGTGGGGGTCCTCACCTCCTCTAGGTCCTCACCTCCTCTAGGATGCTCCCCCGGGAAGATTTTTTTTTAAATATTGAGGTTGAAAGCATCAATCTGGTGCACTTTGAGAGCAACATGAAGAGATCTATGGATACATCTCTCAGCATCCAGATGAAACACAACTGTAAACAGATTTTCTTTTTCTTTATGGATATTTTACAAATCACTCCCCTTTTAAACTGTATTCTTGTTTTACTGCCATATAGTATTTCATACCTGTTTTTCATGTATTCTCTTATTGTTTGTATAACTATAATGATGAAGGTGTGCCTCGGAAATAATCTTTTGAATAATTTGTGACAAAACCGTTCTAAACACTCAGAGAGTCCTTTAGCTCACCTGAGCCCCTCAGTCTGACAGGGGAGGACTCTCCCCCAGATTGTTGTGGAAACAGCTCCTTATGTCCGTTAGTGCAGCTAGCTAACCAGATGCTAACATCACGGTCCCCGCTAGCACCGGTCCCACTCTCTCCCTCTCTCTCTCCCTCTCCCTCTATCACACTAAATGCGCTATTGCCACACACACACACAGAGCCCAGAGCCATACATTGGCTGACATTGAATGACACAAGCACACGTGTATTTCCATGCAACTCTCTGATTGGTCTGGTGACTTGCCTCTGTTGCATTCATCGAACACGGGAAATTGCAGGCCTAGTCCTCTCTTGTGTCATGATGAGGTTCACGTAAAGCACGGTTAATGTATTATATTATTGAGGTGTCTCAATACGTCAATCAAGTGGCACCTGCTAACGGGGTGGTGGATGATAGGTTTACATCTAAAAACGTATTTTTCAAACATTATTATTTTTTATTTTATTTTTCTTTCTTTTGTAACTTTTTTTTTTAACGGTCCGCGACCGGTCGATCGCGATCGACTAGTTGGCGACCACCGCTCTAGGGGGTCCGGGGGTATGCCGCCCCCCCGGGAAGAAATGTTTGAACATTTAAAGTAAAATGCTTCAATCTGGTGCACTTTGAGCACACATTACTAGAGACCTGATCTAGAGGGAACAACTCTAAACACCCATATGAAAAAGATCGGTTTACATTTTAATAATCAAATAAGTATGTGAACATAACCAATAACCTACCATAGCCAATAACAAATACATGTAACTTATTTTATTTTTGTTGTTCATTCATATCTTATTTTACCAGTTAACATTTATTTATGCATATTTTTTTATCCCTCAAGTTTTAAACGATATTTTTGGTTTTCTGTCCTATAGTATACATTGGAATGATTTCAAACCTGTTTATCCCAATAATTATAAAGGAGTGCCTTGGAAATATTTGTTTCAGTTATCTCTCTCGCTCGCTCCCACGCCCACTTTGGCTGTGAGCTGCGGGCGCCTGATAAGCCAACACCCCCCACTTTCATCACTTACAGTGCCCATCGTACAGGGCAAATGAAACGTGTAACCGGGTGAAAAGGGTGTTACATTTACTTCATTATGAATGTTGTTACATCAAGGCCGAAAATTAGGATGAGCGCAAACAGTCGAAAATGTTTATTTCCCTCCCAGAGCAGCCAGCGCAGCGCCTCCCAGATCTGGCGCCCTACGCGACCGCCCATGTCGCCTATGCCAAGAAGCAGCCCTGTACACCATGCTAAATGTATGTCTGCATAAAGCTGAGTTATGATCGGTCATAATAACACAGCATTTGGTGATGATTCAATAGTTTACAGTGAGATTTACTCCCATACTTTTGGCCATACTCACGCAGCCCTACAAATGAATTGAGATTTCCACACACATGTTCTTTAGCAAGTGTGCAGAGCATTGTTGATTTAAAAAAGCAATTTGAAGGTTAGATATTTGTAAACCTTTTTTTGTGTATATATATTCATAATTTAAGATGTAAATGAATTCCAGTTTATTTGTAGTACTTTCTATTTTTATTGTGACATTTGATGGCATCAATGTGTGCATTTGATACAGATAATGGAGCAGTTGCTTTCGCGCCACAGTGTAGGCCTATATCCCTTAATGTCAAATAATGAGATCCTCGACCTCCGCCCCCCCTCTCGCACCTCCACACAGAGCCCCCCCCCACATATCAAATCCCAACTTAACCCCTGGTTAAGGGTATAAATACAGCAGCAAGCTTTGGGACGGCCTCCGCTCTCTCCGGCAGAAACAGGAAATGCCGTAACTGTGTGTAACAACGGTTTCAAATCAGCATCTCTTTGACAAAAAATGTAAATTAATAACTCAAATAAAACTCCAAATATCTTTCATTTGTGTTGTAAAACTCTTTTAGTTTTAAACCTGATGTTTATAAGCTTCTTAGTTTTTGCAACAGTCTGTAAATATACACAACTTTATAATAAAATGCACACATTTACCTTTTTCACTTGTTTGGTTTTATGGGGGGAAGTGTTACGTGCCGTAGTGTTTGTGTGGTCGTGTGGGTGTTTTTCTCTCTCTCCCTCTGACTCCCCAGGTGCAGCCTTGATTGTCCCCAGGTGCAGCCTTGATTGTCCCCAGGTGCAGCCTTGATTGTCCCCAGGTGCAGCCTTGATTGTCCCCAGGTGCAGCCTTGATTGTCCCCAGGTGCAGCCTTGATTGTCCCCAGGTGCAGCCTCTCCCCAGGTGCTCCCAATCCTCAATCAGGGCCTCCATATAGGACAGGAGGAAGGTTGCTGCTTTCTCTCTCCTTCTCATCTGGCTGCATGGGTGCAGCATGTCTCTGTGTGAGACCCAGCATAGTTGTGTGTTGTTTACTGTAAGTTTGTTTTGTAATTGGGCTGGTGAGCCGCCTTACTTATTCACTAATTAAAACCTCACTTAAACTCCTTCAGCATTCAGTTTCCTCTCCTTTTTCTCTCGTCCGGCTATCTTGTGTGTCGCTACTTCCCTTGGTACCCCTAGCTCTACAAGGGAACGTAACAGTTATGGATTCAAAAACAACCAAAATCACGATACTAACAAAGTGAATGATTTCCTGGTGATACTGCTTCTACCTGTCAGTGCTTAGATATTATCACGCTGAAAAAATGAATACAGAATTCCAACAAACTGTCATCAAATGTCTTTCTATTATGAATTTAGATGAAATGTATATCCCCATAATGACCTAAACAATAAAGTCTATGGCTTTTACTTCTTCACCAGGCTAGTTACATGATGTTGTCTAAATTAAATTCTGTCTCATTACATTACTATGTTTTAGCTTTAACTGTAATATGTTCTTTCTACATTTCAAACCTCAGTTACTTTTATACCTGTTGAAACATTACTCACAGGTCAACTTCTTCCGTATTCCATTCTGGAATTACATCTCTCACAGTAGCCCCTTGGCCACTGATTCTGCATCTGTGTTACCTGCTATAACTCAATCAATATTAGAGACATGTCAACATCCATCAAACAGTATCTTATCCCCAGATATGGAGCAGGTTCATTCTAAAACTGTCAATCAATGGTCAGACACTCCCCCTTTTTTACACATGAACCCATGTGTAACAAAATCCTGTATGGGAAGAAAACCTTCAGGTAATAATTGATTATAAGAAAATACCAAACATCATTCACAAATGTACATCCATCATTTTCCACAGTAAACACTTCAGTGAAATGAAGTGTTTCTCTCCATCTTTCAGTCCCAAAAGAAACACAATCTTCATGTTTTAGTTTGAGGTTCACATTCTGCAAACAGCCACTGCCTGTGGGAGTGAAATATCATCAAGTA